GACACCCGACCTGCTCCTCAGCGCTGGAGTGTGGCTTCCCCCGCCAGCTCAGGAATCCCCCAGAGAAGAGAAATGTGAAGAGATCCAGAAATTGCTCCAAACACTTGATTGGCCGCTGGATCTTGGGCTGGCAGCGACTCCTGAAACCTTTCCCAGGATCGCTCCCCTGACTGACCCCCAACAGAGGAGCAGAAGGGCGGACTCCACCTGGAAACTACCTGTTCTATGAAGCACGGATGTGAAATATAGGCTGGGTCCTACTGACTGGGTGGCTGTGGGTAGACCAGGGACCCTGGTGCTCAACAAGAAGATCCGCTTCCTTCCTTTTCTTCTCTCCTCTTGCCTTCATTAGAGCACCAGGGCTCCCTGTCGCCCCATCCAACCTCAGAGGCCTCCCCTTCTCATCTTCCCGTGCCTGTCTCTCTGTGTCTGTGCATCCTTCTCACTTTAAAGTGACCCTAAGAATGGCATAGTGGAGCCCATGTGACAGGTGTCCACATGGGCTCAACCTTCCAACTTCCTGGACATGATGACATCAGCCTTTGATAGCACCTGGAGAACAGAGGCTGCACTGGGAGGGTGTGAGAGTCCTCCACAGGGTCCTCTGGGTTCTGTCACCTGTGTGTGTGTGTGTGTGGCTGTGTGTCTGCCTATAGGCCTGAGTGGCTAGCTGTGTGTGTGTTCAAGCTGATGCTGTGTGTATGAACCACTGTGGTGTCTGCAGCACATGTATGTCTGGGTATCTTCGTGTCAGTGCGACCTGGCATGTCTGCAGTCTGTGTGCTGTGTGAGTACAGCTGGTGTGAGGTGTGTGTGTGAGTGTGTGTTTTCCATGTCAGCCTGTTCATGTGACTGCCTATATCTGAGAGTAGACCTGCGCCCTGAAAAAGTGGGTTGACTGTGACATGTGTGGTAAGGTTTGTGCTTTGAGTCACCTGTTGTCCTAAGTTCCTCTTCTTTTTCTTCTTGTTTCTCATGAATGTTTGATTAAAACTCAGGAAGCAGCAAAACCCTCAGAACAAGATACGCACGCGCAGGCGTACGAATGTGCTCACAAGCACACCTGCCCAAGGGCCAGAGCCCTCCTTCCTGTCTGCCCTGCTCTCCTGCCCCTCCAGGTCCTGCCTGGGTGCCCCCCTCTCCTCCTCCCTATAAGCTGCTCTCTGCCCATTCCTGTTCTTAGTCCTCCTACCTACTCCCTGCTCCCTGCCTATGGAAGGATGCCTCCGCTCCTCTGTCTCTTCCTGACATTGCTCCATGGCTTCCTTCAAAAACTACCTGCCATGGGGGTGAGCTTCCCCTCCGCTCCCCTTCACACTGCCCCTCTGGCCTGGACCCCAGAGCCTTAGAAACTGTTGGACTGGATGTTCCTCGTCCATTGCAGAGTGAGAGCAAGCAGGCAGGGCCTGGCTTCTTCCCGTCTGTGGCCCTCTTCCCTATAGACCGACACCCATTCCTGCCTTGTCTAGGTGGGAGCCAGCCTGAAGCCAGGCTGAAAGACGAGCTTCTTTGTACAGTTCTTACAATAAACCCTCCCCAGTGCCTCAGATGTGCGGGCTTTTCCTTTCTGCGCCTGCACTAGTGGGTGTGGGTGAGAGCCGGGGCACCAAGAAGAAAGGCAGGCCAGTGGGCAGTGCTGCCGAGACAGGGATAAAGAGGGAGCCTTTGGGACAAGGTGTGGAGGGCCATCTCTGTCCCCCGCCCCTCCAAACAGGCAACTCGCACAACATACGCAAGGCACCCCATGCTCCCTGCCCCCATAAGCCCCCTTAGGCTCTGCTCCCTCTGAGATATCAAGAAGACTGTTGGGCTCACAGTCCTGGACTCCTTGGAAGAGTACTGTGCCCCCAGGACTGTCCTTGGACCTCGGTGCCAGACAGCCCAGGGTCACATGGACCTGTGCCCATAGGGAATATTCTTATGTAGCAACAGCCCACGAGGTCAGTAGTGACCTGCAGTTACACTTTCTATAATGACTTCTGATTCCTGAGTTGAGTTCCTCCACACTAGTGCATGCCGGCCCCCTTTCACAGTTTCTACACCTGCTTTGCCTGGGCCCTGGGGCTAGGTGGCAGGGCGAATGAGGGGCACATGGCACCCCGATCCACAGGCTGCCACAATTGGCCCTGTGCCTCTCCCCACCTCACAGTTCCCTCGGCATATGGAGAGGCTGTTGCGCGTCCCTGCAGAACACCGAGAGCCCTCCCTGGAGATGGCATCTCCAGACCTCACTGGGGCCTCCTGGCTCTGAGGACAGGAGGATCACAGGATGGCGAAGCCCATTTTTCTGACCCTTGACTGGCAGGAGAAAAAAGCAAAATCCTGGGTGGGAAACATCACCAACACAGGCTTCCTGCCCACCCTCCCTGCCCTCCGGCGTTGTGAGCTGCCCGTTGCCGAGCGTGCATGGCGCTCCCACCTGGCCAGTTGCCTGCAGTGTACCCGGCTGCCCTTGCAGAGCACAGGGTGATGGTGTTCTACGCCGGTGAGGTCACTCGGTTTCTGGGAGGTTCAGGACAGGCGTTGCCTACCTTGGTGCTGTCAGTGTGTGGGGTGGGGAAACGCTTTGCTCTGTGAGTAATGGCTGTCCTGTGGAGGGTGGCCTTCAGTGCCCCAGCCCATGAATCGGGGGCCTACTAGAAACATCATAACAGGAGGCCCCTTTGAGAGCCACTGTGACTTGGGGAGGTTTAGCTGGTACACGAGGGTTAGCATTTGAACTCAGTGGCCACCCAGGCAGGGGGTGCAGTGTGTTGGGGGGTCTCCCTGCCCTGAGCCTCTTCCACCTCGTCCTTCCTGGGGTAACTGAGCCCCCCTGCCCAACCTGCGGCCTTCATCTCTCTTCCCACCCTCCCAGCGCTTGCTTTTACTCGTCTTCCTGGAAAGGAGGGAATGGCAGGTAGTGCGTGGAGCTCGGGCAGCCAGGACAGAGGCAGGGGCAGGCTTATGAGGCCTCCTGTGCCAGGAACGAAAGGGTAGAAAGAGCCCAGGACAGGGCTCAGTGCTGTTGTCACCAGGAAGAAAACAGTACAGCCCCAGCTGCGACAAATGACTCTGCAGGTGGCCACAAACCCCACCCCACTGCCTCACCCCTCCTGAAAACAAGTCTCTGCTTGGCATGAATGGGAATGAAGTCCAAAGAGCACATCTACATGCTACCTGCGGGGGCCGACCATGCATGTGCGTATGGAGGACCCCAAGTGCCCCGACAGTCTGTGCCCCCACAGCCACTCTAGGTGCCAGGTCCAGGTCCCCAGCGGCCCACGGCGCACGGCCCGGGCAGCACACACACACACACACACACATGAGCACACAGCCTTACACATTTGTGTGACCCAAGCCTTTCCTGACGTCCTTTCATCGTTGAAGGAAACGCTAACTAACATCTCCATCCCCAGGGACTTGCCAGGAGTGAACTATGCTGAAGGGGGGTCCCGGATCTTCTTCTACAACCTAGGTGGTTCTCTCTCCAACCACTGGAGCCAGCAGTTGGGGACCGTGGTCCCTACGCTGACCTCAAGTGATGTCCTTACTCCTGGGCTGTTTGTTCTGCAAGCTGAACATCTGACACCTTTTCAGAGAAATGTTGTTTTCATTTGGAACATCTGGAAATAAGCATGAACATCTGGGACTGCCCAGAACGAGCTGTCCCTTAAATGAATGCATCGCCCCCGTAGCCCTAGTTTTCATGGCTCAGGTACGGGTCTGAAGCGCTCAGGGCATCCCCACCTGTCAGGTGAACAGGAGGCCTAGGATGGGGGTGCGGGTCACCTAGACCCTCTGCCTCCCAACCCTGCCATGGGCGGGACACCTGCGCCTCCCTGAGCCTAGGCAGATGGCCAGCCTCCAGGCTGAGAAGGGAGGCCCGTGGGACCTGAGATGTGGACATAGGGCACTAAAGGTGTAGCATCTGTCTTCCTCGCCTGGGGGTCAGGAGACAAGGAAAAGCGAGGAGAGAGGACATGAGAGAAGGAAGTTGCCCGGAGACATAAAACTCCCAGAGGTCTTGGCTGCAGGGCTGAGGTTTGCAAGCCTGTTGTGTGCAGGTCTGCAGGTGGGACCCGCACAAGGGCACCAACAAGGGGACTCTGGGGAAGGGACACACAGCTAAGCTTAGATGAACCCCTGAATCCTGTGATTCCACCCTCAGCTCTGCTGCCCACAGGCCGTGGCCAGAGCCATCAGAACCCAAGGGCTCCTCCACACTCCCCAGACCACTGCCCAAGGTCTTCTGGAGGTGTGGACACTGCTTCAGTGGCTTCAGAGTCCCAAAGGGCTCCCAGGAGAAGCCCCCCATTGTTAAGTGGGAGATCTCCCATAATCCACCTCTACCCAGGTTCGCCCCGTGGCAGCCCATAGCACACTCTCCACAGCATGAGGAAGAGGCCCCCCACTAGGGCGCCTGTCTTCTCCTAAGTAGTCGCCATCTCAGTCTGCTTCTGCTAGAGCACTGGCAAGGCTCCGTTCCTCCCAGGCTCAGCTTCCAGTACGGCTGCCCGTATGCCGGACAAGAGGCTGCTCTGGAGGCTGCCCGGTGTCACTGTTGACCGCTGCCCTTGTCCTGCGCCCACCCACAGACGGAGGGTGGGCTGCTGCAAAGGGGCTGGGCTCAGGGCACTCACCGTGCCCAGCTCAGCACCAACGATTTAATACTTGCAGGGCCCAGCCTTGTGGAGCTGGCAGACAGCAGAGGGCAGAGGCCTGCGACCCAGGGATGAGCCCCAGCTGGGAAGGAGGGGCACAGGAAGGGAATCCAGGCTCTGGGGGCTGGTCCAGGGCTTCTTCCAAGGGCCCCACCTGGCCTGCCCAAGCCGGGCCACCTTCAGGCCTTGGGGGCCCAGCTGACAAGAGTTGCCCTCCCCCAGTCCCCTGAGACCTAGTGCCTCCCTTGGGTCCCAATTTGCATGGCAGGAAGGGGCCTGAGGGGGAAGAGGTAGGGAGGGGACAAGCGCGGCCCAGAGTTACACATCTTCCCCAAGCATCTTGGACGCGGTCACAGGCACAGGCACGGCACGCGGACTATGGCGGGGCTGGCGCTGTGCCCCGCGTCCGGCACCTGCATGGCGCTGCTGCTGCTGCTGCTGCTGCTGCTGTCAGGTACAGGGCCTGCCGGGCCTGCGGCCTCGCGGGGTCCTCGGCTCGGTCCCCTTCTCCCTCCGCTTCTGCCTGCCGCTCTGTCTCTGCTGTCCGCCTTGGCGGTGGGGTGCATCCCAGGGTCTGGCCCGCAGCTCCTTCCGCCTGGACCATGAGGGACACCGGGAAACCAAGACGGTGGAAGGGCTGGGTCCTGCGGGAAGATGGGGACGAGCTGGCTCACGCCAAGCCCCCGCAGACACTCTGTGGGGGGAAGCAGGGGCCCGGAGGAGGCGCGCGTTTACAGAAATGCTTCGCTCCTTGTCTGGAAGACGGGAGAGCCCTCCCAGCTGCGACTTCCTTCCTGTCTCGCTTAACACCCTCCCCGGTGCCATGTCAAGGACAAGCAAAGCTGGAGTGGGGTTTCTGGTGCGTCTACCGTGCTCCTGTCTGTCTCTCCAGCATAGAGCCAGGGAGGGCTGAGGGATCGTGAAGCTTCGCGCTGGAAACAGGAAGTGGTTTGGGAAGGCAGAAGACACAGGGGTGGGGCGACCAACGGAGGATACCCGGGCCTCACCTGACCCCACCCACTTCCTCCTTCCTCCAGGTGAGCCGGTGTCACCCTTCAATTGGGAGGACGTGTCCCGGAATCCCAAAGGTCAGTACCCTCACTCACCATGCCCAGGGTCAGCCTTGTGTTCAGGGCTAGTCACTGCCCCTGGGACCCCTTCTCAGGCTTTTGCCTGGGTCTCCCCATCCAGGACTCTCACCCTTGGGCTTCCATAGGGCCCCTCTGAGGTCTCACCCCTGGGCCAGCTGTCACCTTCATCAGACAAATGTGCTCCAGGCCTGGCACAGGTGTGCCGGGCTAGCCCAATACCAGCTCTGGGAGGGAGTCAGAGGGGACACCACAGAGGCCTCAGGCCTACGTCTGTCTGTGAGGATCAGCCTCAGTTTGGGGGTGAGCCCCTTGGGGCAGGGCTCAGGGATTCCCCAGAAATCAACCGCTGAGCCCAAGGCAGAGGGGGCCCCCTCAGAGCAGGGGTCCAGAAACAAAGCACAGCAGACCTGCTCAGGAGGGGAAAGGGGTTAATGGGGAGGGTCTTGCTCAGCAGGCTAAGGGTTCAGCGCTTCAGCCCTGTGAGCCACGGGGAGCCCTTGAAGGTTCCAGGCAGAGGCAGGGCGAATCAGGGAGGAGTTGCTGGAAGCACTGGGCCAGGCCTTGGGCCTAGGAGTGGAGCCTGGGTCTGGCCGTTGTAAGGGACATGGAGAAAAATCAGAAGGTTCCAGTACCCTTCTAAAGGACACTTGGACAGAGGCAGCCTGGAAGAGGTGGATCCAGCGGGGGGATGTGTGGCTCTTCAAATGACACACCACACACACACACACACACACACACACACACATACACACACACACACCTCTGCCTCCCAACTACCCCATGCCCTCAGGAGCAAAAGGCAGATAGAGCCACAGTCACTGCCCTCCCAGGGCTGGAGTCTGCAGGAGAGGCTGGCAGAGAGGCAAATGCCAGCGTGGATTTTGAGCCTGGCCTTGCTACCCACAGGAAGTGCATGTTCCGGGATGTGGCAGTATCCCCGATTCGTGGCCAGGAAAAGGGGCTCTGTGGTAAAAATTCATTGCCACACAAACACCTCCAGCTCCTCTAACAACGTGACCTGGTTCTGGAAGCAGGAGGCAGACAAGGAGCCCCAGGAGCTGCCCACCAAACAGGGCCACTTCATGCGGACCCACAATGGCTCCGTCCATACCCTCACCATTCAAGGCATCCAGTATGAGGACAACGGTGTCTACTTCTGCCAGCAGGAGTGCCCTGGGAACCCCCCTGCTGTCTTCCAGAGCTGCGGGACAGAACTTCGAGTCATGGGTGTGTGCCAGGGGAATGGATGGGGTGTCCGTGTAGCTATCCGTGCCCAACTCTAGAGACTGGGGCTGAGCAACCATGGATGGAGGGTGCTGTGGCCCAGAGCTCCCAGGACAGCTGCTGGGACCAGGTCCCGAGAGGTGACAAAGAGCAACCACTGCAAGCTCACTGGGTGGAGTGGGGGGGCCCAAGCAAGGCTCACCCCAGGGGAGCGCTCACCCCCGCTTCGTGGCCCTCCCACAGGGTTCAGCACCTTGGCCCAGCTGAAGCGGCGGAATACGCTGAAAGACGGCATCATCATGATCCAGACCCTCCTCATCATCCTCTTCATCATCGTCCCCATCTTCCTGCTGCTGGACAAGGTGAGCACAGGCCCCGGGAGACTGACGCAGCGCATTCCCGTCCGGCAGGGGTTCCGTCTCCGCAGCCCCACAGCCTGCACTTGGCTCGCTGTGCATGCACACCCGCCATGGCTCACCTAGGCCCAGGTCCCAGGCCCAGCAGGGGCTGAGGCTGGGGGAGGCGCACGCTCTGAGCCCCATCCCCTGTCACCCCTAGGATGACAGCAAAGCCGGCAAGGAGGAAGACCACACCTATGAGGTAAGAAGGGGGAAGACGCAGCAGCCCGAGCCGAGTGGTTGGTGGTCCACATGCATTGGTGTAGCCTGACCGCTATTTCATGTCTGCAGGGCCTGAACATTGACCAGACAGCCACCTACGAGGACATAGTGACGCTGCGGACAGGGGAGGTGAAGTGGTCTGTCGGGGAGCACCCAGGCCAGGAGTGAGGAGCTGTCCCCATTCCCCAGGACCGTCCTGGGCCTCACTGACTGCACCAGAGCTGCCTGGTTCGTGTTCATGGCCTGTTCCCCCTCTCTGGACCCTAGCTGGCCTCTGAGGCTGGCCCACCAGAGCCACCTCCCCCTCCAGCTTCTGGTCCCCAGCTCTTGCCAAAGGGCCTAGGACAGAAGGACCACAGACAGTGATTTGGAACAAGGAGTTCTCTGGGGAGGGGCTGGGCCCAGCCTTCCCGCCTCTGGGACGTGAAAGCAGAGAGACTTGTTGAAAACTGCGCATGGACTCAAAACAGACGAGTTCCACACAGGGCCTCCATGGAGGGCTTCCTGCAGGGCCAGGCCCCAGCGCTCCAGCATGACCATCAAGAACGTGCCCCTCTCTCCCAGCCCCCCATCTGACAGGGCACCATGCAGGGAACCCCTTCTCCCGTGAAATAAACAATGTATCTGACCTCCACACGGTCGTGGGACTTCGCATGGGGCAGAGGGGTGGGCGTGGCCTCTGAATGGGACACCTGCGGGCCTACAAGCCTGGGGTGGGGACCAGAGACCCGGCTGGGGTCTGCGGTCACATCTCCCCCTCTGGCCCAGGCTGGGTCAAAGAAGAAAGGGATCCTGCCAGTGCTCCCGCTGCACAGGGATGCCCTCACCTTGCCCTTCCGCTGAGCCGCAGCGGCCGCCGAGTCCTGGGTGCTCCACAGGGCTCCTTCCCAGCCTAGCCTGCCCCAAACCACCTGGCCTTCAAGAGCCTCTGCCCAGAGGAAGCCCTCCCGAAGCACCCCAGGCACTGCCCTAGCCGGGCAGATCAAAGTGGACAGCCGTGGATCTGTCTGCTGCCCCGGCAGCTTTGGTTCTCTGATTAGAGCAGAAGCTGCCTGAGAGTGGGGGTTCCCTGGCTCCATGACACCCCTTCTGCCTCCCATGCCACTGTCCACTAAGCCTTGAACTTTTTCTTTTCAACTTGACCCAAAGCCACTCAGAGAAAGAATTTCTGAAGAGGGAGATTTCAAGTGATAACACTTGAGGATCCTTAGTGACCCTAGGATCCCAACATCCCATCAGAAGCACCCTTTGGCCTCAAGGACCCCACAGAATGTTCCCTAGGTACCAGCTTCCCAGAGAGAACTGGGAACGACTCACAGCTGGGCGGTTAAGGGCAATCAACGTGCCCATGCAAAGCCTCCCCTGAGCTGATCTGCGCTGCACTTCCTGCTGATGCGGGGGAACCCCAAAACTCTTCTGCCATGCACATGCATGCTGTGGACATAGGCGGCAAAACCCTACCCTAAGGGAGCTGCCAGTTTACCTGAAGAACCAGGGGTGAGCTGTTGAGAGAAACACATTATTATTTTTTTTAGTATTGGGGGGTGAACCCAGGATTTTACACTGAACTATACCCTAGTCCTTTTTAATTTTTTGACAAGATCTTGATACATTCCTAAATGGCCCAGGCAGGGCTTGGCTTTGTGATCCTCCTGCCTCAGTCTCCCAGAGTTCTGGGGTTAGGTTTATAGGTGTCTACCACTATGCCAGCTGAGGAGCACCACTTTTTTTTTTTTAACAGATGTGCTCTGGGCTTCCAGGTGGGGCAGGTGGCAAGGCATGAACATCTAGAGCTTCAGGGCAACCTCCCACTGCTCGCTGGGGCCAGGCTGGCTGGGGTTGCCAGAGGGAACTGGCTTGTTTTGGCCTCGGCCTCCACTGAGCTGGAGCCCTCGCTTTCCTGTCACTTTGCATAGTGGAGCTAATTTTGTCCCCTCCCTCCACCAGGGACCCAGGCAGCCCGCCAAGGAGGGGGAGTCTTCACTTCTCCCCTAAGCAGGGTCTGCTCTGCTTGCAGTTGCCCTGGGTCAGGGGAGACTTCTGCATTACCAAAGCCCTAACACCTCTGAATAACTGGGTTTCCCTAAGGCTTTGAAGTGTTTGTTGACAGAGAATCATTGGTGCGGGCCAGCAGCTACCACCTCCACAGACACCCCAAAGTGTGTTAGGATCCCTGGGTGAAAGTGCAGAAGCCCTCCCAGATGTTTTTGTTTAGGAGCTCTGCTTTTGCTGTCATCATGTCTGCCTTATGGGTCCTGGACGCCCAGCATAGACCTAGGCAGTGGAAACCTTGCTGGGTGAGCCTCACAGGGTGGAGGACATCCCAGACCTCGGTTGGTTTATCTGTCAAATGGGATGCAGAACACCTAGCTAGAGCTGGGATGAGGGGACACATCTGTACTCCCAGCTACTTGGGAGGCTACGACAGGAAGATGCTTTGAGCTCAGAAATAGGAGGCCAAGCCAGGTGGCAACATAGCAACCCAATCTCAGAAAACCCAAAATCTATCCAAAGGAAAGGAATGGAAATATTTGCTTAAAAAAAAAAAAATCATGTAATAAAATTGAGTTTGTTTTGTTGTTATTATTAATTGGGTTTGGCTTGTTTTTTTTTTTTGAGACAGGATCTCACCCTGCAGTTCAGGCTGGCCTTGAACTCACTGTGTAGCCCAGGTTGGTCTCAAACTCACAGTGATCTTCCTGCCTCAGCCTCCCAAGTGCTTTTGATTACAGACATGTGCCACCACACCCAGCCTGAGTTTGTTTTCTTTTTGCGTGCAGTTCTATGAATTCTAGAACATACAGATTTGGGTAACTAGCTCTATAATTTGGATATAAAATATAAACAAACAAACAAGCAAAAAAAACCTACCAAAAGCTTTTACTGGAGCCAGTAAATACCCAATTGAACATTTTGCTTATTTATTTATTTTTGATGGTACCAGGGATCGAACGCAGGACCTTGCGCTTGCCAGGGAAGTGCTTATTCCACTGAGCCATCTCCCCAGCTCCATACCAATAAAATTTTGTTAAGTACTCCCATTCTGGTTTACATGACCTTGATTAGGCTTCTCTATAACCGTGAAAGAAGTAACCTTACCTCTGTCTTACCCCTCCAGGAAAGAGTCAAGTCCTGGAAATAACCAAAACTGGCCCTGTCCCACGTGGTCTTCAGACTCCGACTGCAGCACCACATGACAGTGGCCTCCCTTCGAAGACTTCACCTGGACAAGACTCTCAATTATAGGAGCAAGGAAAGGGCTGAGGAGAGGGAATTCTGGGACAGCTTTGGGTTATTGCAGAGTCCGCCCTGCAGACAAGTCTGCTCTGCCCACCCTTGCAAGCAGGCCTGGCCAGCGCCCAGAATCCCCAAGTCTTCTCCAGCCTCTTTGCAGGAGCCCGGCTCCCCTGCCCCTCCCGAGCAGGCAGCGGTGAGACCCCCTGGTGGGCACACAGGCCCCCCCACCAGCGGGGAATCCAGCGGGGTCCCTGGGGGCCCTGGTTTAAGCTCAGGCCGCTTCCTCTCCGCTCTAGCTTGACTTCCGGCCTTCTGGCTGCAGGTGCTGTTCAGCCTAGGTTGATCTGGCCACGGCTGTGGGTGTTTTTCCATAAGCCAGAGAAAACAAAAAATGTGAAACAGCTGCTGTTTGGACAGCACCAGCAGGGACCATGTGTGCATCCTCCCAAGGTCTGCCCTGCTAGGGCGCCGCTCCAGGGCCCCAGGGGACATGGTGTCCGCTCCCTTTAGCCCATTTCGGAGCTGGAGTCAGGCCACACACCCAGGAGTCCCCAGATGCACCCCAGGTCTCCAAGCTGCCCTGCTGTGACCCGCTCTGAACCCTCGTTGTCCTGCAACCACCAACCTTCCCCATGAGTCAGCCCCTGCCCTGCCCACCCCAAAGCGCTCATGTAAGTGACTATAGGCGGCAGAACTTAGCAGACATTAAATCCACAGTTCAGTAGGGTGCAGTTTTAATGTTAAAATACATCCTGACTGATCCTGATACAGTCTCTCAAGTATTTTCCCTTTGGAGCCAGGCTCTCGTTCCCCACACAGAAGGACAGGCTGGGGAAGGGAGACGCCTCTTCTAGGGTCCGGCTGCCACAGGCCACAGTGCAGCGAGTGCTGGGGTGAGCTCGGACTCGGCCCTTGCCCCCGTACGGCCTTGTGCGCCTTTTCATTTTGTTTTTTCACTTGCGTGTTGCTGCAGGGATAGCGAGGCCTTTCCCAGTGGGCCATTCCGGAGTTGGACCTGTGAGCCCCTCTCTCGGTTCTTTCCCTCTGTTCATTTGCTCAGCATTTGAATTCCCAGTCGGGGCCTGGGACGCTGGCCTGGCCTTGGTGTCAGCTATCTCCTTTCTGGTAGTTTTCCCTACTGGAAACTTCAGCCTGTGATTTGCTATTACGTAGTGTATTGATGTGTTTGCTACTGGATCTCTGGCTAGTGGAGTCCAGATGAGCCAGGCTCATGGGATCCGCTCACCTGGGCACGCACACCTGCCTGGCACAACGTCTGGTGTAGCTACGGACCGCGGCTGCTTATTGAATCAGCAATGCTGCATGAGAGAAGGAAGGAAGGAAGGGCGAAATCCAGCCTCAGAGCTTACAGTGCAGAAAAGGCAATGAGATGTTCACAGATAGCTAGAGGATAAGATACCACATTCGATCTTGGGCTGCGGATGTAGCTCAATGGCAGAGCGCCAGCCTGGCAACCACAAGGTCCTGAGTTCAGTTCCTGGCATAAGCACAAAAGAACACTTGCTCTTAACCAAAAGGGCGAGAAGTGATACTGGAGGAGATGATAAGAGGAGGCAGTGGGTATTCCTAGCTGAGAGTACCCATCACAAAAATATCCCAGACTTCCTACGACTTCTGGAACACACATTGGTCCATAGTAATTTTTTCAACAGAGATTTTCTCCCTAGGGAATAATTCCCAGAGTGAAGATTACTGAGCAAGTCCAGGAACGGGGATTGCCGGATTCTTCCCTGTTCAGAGCTTGTCACTCAGTGAGAGCCCCAGCTTCCCCACTCGGCAGCGCCTGCCCTGGTCTCCCACATCTCTCACGGTCCTCCCCCATGCTTGAAGCCTCTGGCCACAAAGTGGGGCAAACTCAAGGGTCCACTGAGATACAGGAAGTGAAAATGTGGTGCACACTGAAACGTGCAGTCCAAATGCGAACCACGATGCGATCTGGCTCACTACGTCCGGCTACGTGGAGTTGTTTTTTTCTGCCGCTTTTCTTAGTGCCTGCAGATGCCCCGCTGTGAAACTGGTGCTCTGTGTGTTCAGTGCGTGCCACTTTCACTGAAGATCTTTGTCACGGGGATGTGAGCCTGCCCCGGGGGCTTTGTCCTGCGGGAAGTCCTGTGCATGCCAGGCAGTGCCACCATCTTTACCAACCGAGTCTCTTAAAGGGCTTTCCATGGCACAAAGATCAGGGCCTTGGGCGGCCGTTGCTAGGAGCTGGCAGACCTTAGCGCTCAGACACCCTATTAGCAACATCTTGGATGCATCTGTGGATGGCTGATGTGGACCAGTCGAGGCGTGAAGAACTTCCAGTACACTGACAGGGATTCGTGGGTTCCAGGTTACAATGTGAGTGTTCTTTAAAGCTGACTTGGGGTTCATCCTGGGCCAGCAGGGGCTGGCATGGGGTGCTAACCACAGGCTTTCCCCATAGGATATGCAGAGACCCCAGTGGGCAGTGTCCAAACCTGAGGAGTCGGTGGTGTCAGTGTGCCCTCTCACCCCCACGACTGGACAACGTCCCAAGTCTAATTCGAAGCGTAGCTGCTCCTAGCACACAGCCCATGTGCCCGTTCCACATCAGCACCAAATGCCTCCAGCTCAGGCTCTTCCTAGCCTCGGCTACAGGAGAGGGTTCTTCCCAAGTCTAGGGTGCACACGCACTGTTCTCAGCCCTAGCTAAAAGCGTCTGGCATTGTCCCCACCAGGGGACCCAGGAGGAAAGAGGGCTCTGCAGGCACAGCATTCCTCTGCCCACTTGCCTCCTGGCCCCTGCTCTTTGGTGGGGCTGGAAAGAGGAGAGAAAAGGACGCCTTTCACTTCCCCACGGCCCCCTCTGGCTCAGTACTGTACTTTGGATGACACCCATCCCCCAAGCCTGCCTGGAGAACATTGCCCAGGAGGTGACAAGTCCGAATCCTAGAAGGAAAAGGTGGTGAGGCCCAGACGCATGTTCTAGACCATAGGGAAGAGTCTTCAGCATCGGTCTGCCTTGGTTTATTCTCTCACTGCTAAGACAAAATACCTGACACCCAGAATTAAGAAAGGAAAGGTTTATTTAGCTCACAGTTTGTGGAGGTTTCAGTCCATATTCAGCTGGCTCCAAGGTAGAGCGGCACAGGGCAGAGGGAACAGTGGATGGCAGCGATGACAGCAAAACATCAAAAGCCATAAGCAAGGAGCAGAGGAGCAAGCCTCTTTCCCTCCCTGATGCTGCACGCAGGCTGCCTGCCCCAGGGTGGGTATAACGCTCTCATCCATAATCCCAGCAGCACTCACACCCATAATCCCAGCAGCACTCACAACCATAATCCCAGCAGCACTCACACCCATAATCCCAGCACTGGACCACGAGTCAATCAAGAACGCCAGCTGCCCACCCCATGGCTACGTGAGGCTTTGGGGGATATCTAGACACAAACCATGTCAACATCAGGATCAGCCACATAAGCAGCCACTTTTACTTGCACACTCATGTTCAAGCGCTAGATCTTTGAGACTCGGGGATGGAGGGTTTCGTTGCCGGAGCGTGTTCTTTCCTCCTGCATTCGGGGCATCTGACACTGAAGAGTACTAGATGGGAAAGCTGCCAGCGCCTGGCAGCAGAGGCCAGCGGACGCCCCAGCCTTGGCGGCCCTCGCCTCGCTCCGCTGGGAGCTTTGCCTCATGTTCCCCATGCTGCTGGGTCACTCTCAGCGGGGAAGGGAGGGAGACCAACCTGAGGGAGGCAAACTGAGGCGCAGGCCCCCTCGTGACCAAGGGCGGGGTCCTGGCATCCGAGGGAGTTAGAAGTTAAAAATCACAGCGACACCACACAGCCTGCTGGGAGGACGGGCTGGGGGATGGACGGGACGCCAGGGGATTGAGGCTGTGGAGAGCCCCACCTGGGCAATTTGGCTCTGACCATGGTCTCGGCGATTTGGCAGAGCCTTGGCTCTTCTCCTGAAAAACAGGCCTGAATAACACCTTGTTCACACAACAGTGATGAGAAAGCGTAGCTCTGCTGTTTCATACCCATGATGAGCTCCAGACAGATACTAAAAAGAGGAAAAAGAAGGGGGGATATAGCTCAGTGCTTGCCTGGCAGGTGCAAGGTCCTGAGTTCAATTCATGGTACAAAGGAAATAAAAGGAGGAAAAAGAGCAAGAAACCATGCAGGTTTGGTGGTGCACGCCTGTAACCCCAGCATGCAAGAGGCTGAGGCAGGAGGACCGCTGCAAGTCTGAAACCAGCCTGGCTACAAAGTGAACTCAAGGCCAACCTAAATTTCACAGCTAGACCCTGTCTCAAAAAGACAAAGAGAAGGAGGAGGAGGAGGAGGAGGAGG